AGCATTTCGGCGAACATCGTGAAAGTAGAACGGATTAGCCCGCACTGCAACACAGGGGTGTCATCTGAAAATGTCGTGAGCATACGCAGGAAATGAAATTTTGCAAAATATTCCACGAATTTGAAAATGAAAGTGGATAAAATCAACAACATCTTGCCGTGCGCCTTACAAAAATAAATAGCAGAGCGCATCAGAATAGCCTGTACGATCTTGCGTTTTGTGCAATTCCGTCCACCGAACGATTACCCCTTAATGATTTTCACTGCTCTTCACTTCGGTCCGTGCAAAAATAGTTGAAATGTTGAAAAAAATTTAAAAATTTCACGCACCAATACGTGAAAGTTGAATCTGAGACCTCAGAGGATGAATATCCTTCCATAATTTCAGTCTGCTGATTTTTTGGCTTTCGAACGATCTTTAAGACGAAACTTTCACATGGTCGTACGTGAGACCTCGGAATGATTGAGAACTGAATTCGAGTTTGTGAAGCCCCAGCTTAGACAGGAAGCATTCTCCTGAAACTTTCAGCCCCCTGACTCACAGGGCGTGACAAGATGGTTTCGGTAAGAAAATGTCATGAACTAGCGTTATATAAAAATTTCGTCTTGTGATATTGGTTCGTATCATTTTTTTGCAATGCGTTTGTTGTATTCTTTGTGTTTAACCTACGGCACTGCTTTTTCTGGTTTTAACATTCAGGGCGAAGCAGAATATTTGTGGAAATGGAAGAAACCAAAATTCACTATTGTTACCATAAAAGTGGAAGCTTTTTTTCAGGCAGACTTACGAGGAGGAGTTGCGGAGAGGGCAGGTAAGCGCTGGAAATGCTTCTGAACCGGACCTGATATGGTGGGAAGATGATGAAGAGGCGACAGCGCGTTATCCCTTTGGAAAGATCAGTCAAACCCGCCAAAAAGTGCGCAGTCATGGCCACGCTGATACTTCGCAGTCCGCGTAATTTTTTCGTATTTTACTGATAGTCTTGGTAATCGCCAGAGTATCTCTTGTCAGTTTAGTCGTTTTTTTGAAATGCGGTTACAGACAAAGATAAAAAAAAAAAAATAAATAGCAACGCGCACCAGACTAGCCGGTGCGATCATGTGTTTTGTGCAATTCAGCCAATCGAACGATTGTTTATTAATGATTTTCACTGCGTTGTACTTTAGCCTATGCAAAAATAGTTGAAAAACTGAAAAATATTTAAAAATTTCACGCACATGCGCATGAAAGCTGAATTCGAAACATTGAAGGGTGAATATCTTTTCGTGATTCCCGAGTTAATAGTTTAGCCGCCAAAATTTTCACGAGACCGTAGGTGATACCCGAGAGCGCGGGGAAGCTGAATTTGAATAGGCAAGGTTGAGTGTGGGCGGTGGGTCGTTACCCTAAAATTTCGGCTTCCTGGTCTCCGTGGTTCCCGGGATAATAATTTATTCGTCAAAAATTCTCACGGGGCCGTACGTATTACCCGCAGGCAGGGGAAAGCTGAATTTAAATTTTCTGGGTAGTACATGGGTGGGGGACATGCTCATAAAATTTCAGCCTTCTACCTTCCGTGGTTCCCGAGATACTGATTTTACCCGAAAAACTTTTACGGGGCCGTGCGTGTTACCCGCGGGTACGGGAATGCTGAATTTAAATTTGCCGCGTCACCCATTGGCGGGGAATACTATACTAAAATTCTAGCCGCCTAGCTTTGTGGTTTCCGAGTTGAAAGTGCGGGACAAAATGTGGGACACACACACACACAGACAACCCCGTGACAATATGC